GCAATGTTGCGCTTCCTTGCAGATACTTTTTACAATTCATGGAATCCGCAGTTACGTGAAATCTCTGTGAAAAACGAAACTTTGGTTACTTCAGCAGAAGGTTTCTTCATGGACAGGAAAAGAAACAGGATAAGAAAAAACACCAAAAACATAGTCCAAACACAAGAAGTAACAGTAGTAGTAGGATAAAGCTCAGTTTACTCCAAACTACCGGGAAATCTGTGTTGGAATATTACTGTCTAAACTGAACACTCGCTTCCCTCAGCCTTGCCAAACTCATCATGGATCATTTTGTGATTTCAATTTCAATTTGTGGGCTTTGAATTTCCTGCAGAATGGTTGCAGTTATGACTACTTTGTTGGATGAAAATTTTTACTGTGTAATAAAGATGGGAAATATTAAAACATCTCTATTTATCGACTCATGCACAGTGCCTCTAGAGGGGACGCATCATATGTTGAGACACATGTCAATCTCTGATTACCTCCGCATCAGCGCCACTCAACAGGTTGATACTAGCAGTCAGATGACACCACTGATGAGTGGTGACCAAAGCGATACTTAACTTTTGTCTCAAAGTACGATGAGTCAGCTCTACCTCCTTCCTTATCAGCATCGACAGAGAGGCAGAGAACATGCATCAGAGTAGATTGCAGTTGAATAGACGCTGTAACGGCAGATACACATGTAATACATGTTTGCACATGAGCAGTAGCGTCGGCTTTAAATCCTCCATTGCTGTTGGACAAGGCAGTGCAGGCACTTCCAAACCAAAAGTTAAGGACTGGTAACTTATTAGATGTACATTCTACCGTAAAGCTATTGTCACTGTTTATTCCCTTTTATGTTTGCTTCAGATAGAGGTGTCGTCAGATATGTTGGCCATTGCTTACTTTCAGTTTGCAAGCACAGATGACAAAGTTAGGCCTCAACACGGATCGTCGTTCACTACTATCCACCTTAAAAGCATCCGTAACATGATCATATCGTCAAGGTTACAAGTTTTGAAAGTGGTAAAAACCCTATCAAAGCTTGTGTTCTTGCCTCTGAAAGTGTCGGATGTTTTCACATGGATAGTAGTGACACCAAAACGTGCAAACCGAAAGTGAACAACAGCCAACTTATCTGACCACACCTCTGAGAGGAAAAATTATGGGTAGGAATACTTGTCTGAAGTGAGCACAAGCTGTTTAGTGAAATCTTCAGTTTATAAAATGGACACGATTAGAGTGAAATGGAATTGGATGAGAAGTCAGTTTCAAACCTGCAAGGTGACATCTTCCAGGTTGTGTTGTTACAATAACAGATAATGAATAACCCAGAGTCACCTATGCAATGACATGAGCAGTCAATTATGCTGCTCGACAGAAAAGACGCGACCACTTAGCAACAAAATTTCTCCATCACGTGAGTCGGCAAGATACAGGCTTTTCCTCCAGGACCAGCAAGCAGCCAATTAACTGGTTTCATTAAGAGAGGATAGAAGAATGATGCACCAATATTAATCAATTGCTTAACTCAATTTCACCACAAGATTTCAGTAGTAAGCCTACTGAAATCGTTACAGTTTAGCCACATTGACTGCTACTATCACGATCTGACATTCCCCGAAAATTTGGAATTACTAGGAGCGGTGGGGATCCCGTCAAGCCTATGTAGATCTCCAACAACGGAGAATGGGAGCCGCCACAGTATCTTACACGAACCTGTTCAACTTTTGCATTACTTTGAGATATAATTAACAGTGACACCTAGAGTTTAATGCCACTACGGCTCTTAATAGAGTGAAAAAAGACAATGATGGAGAACATAGGAGATGCGCCGAGTAAACCAGACATGACAATCAAAATATATGAAAGCACATGGCAGTGCATGGGCTAGATACTTACTTGCTGCAACTACGCTCCATACGAGAAAATTACAGGAAAAAGGGAGTTGATGTTAGAGATGGCTCGCTCTCACATTGCACATTCAATTTGGAAAACCAACGAAGCGAAAGGGATCTGATTCTAATTACGCAGCTGTGAAAAAATCTCGGAGTGGTGAACAGAGACAAGAGACAAGTGGAGTCGTGAATCAGGGCACACACGGGAGGGATGAGGCGCCCAAAAGTGAGGCTCTGCTGCGCGCGCACGTCGCATGTTTGGATTGTAATTTCGCGGCAGATTCGAACCCAAGGGGCGAGTTCCATAATACATTCTTCTCAAATGCACAGTATTAAGCTTTTATTCATTGGATTTATGTCTACTTTTTTAGAGTAAAATAATGTCTGCATTTTGAAGAATTACATTATTTGTCAGGCTTATATCCTTCTTTTTGCGATTATATTGAAATGTGTTAAAGCAAACTCTGGGGGTTTGCTAATACTTTCGTTAAAATAATATGTTTTAGGCCAATCAGTGCTTTACAAACACTTAATTTATACTCAAAGGTCCAAAAATGAATCAGAAGCTACCGTGGAGGACAAAACAAACCGAGTCAAAGATTTTTCTAAGTAAAAAATTCAAAATGTAATAATTCATACAAATTACGAATTCAACAAATATTGCCATTAATACTTTAATCATCACTTAATCAGAATACTGCTTCTTGAGCACACTGATGGCCTAAGTCCAAAAACATGCATTTTGGATTCAAGACGTTAGTCATTTTCCAACATGTTTATTTTTTCTAAGGAGAAATGATCCCAGTTTTCTCTTTTAATTTCCGTTGATTTCTCTTCAAGACAGAAAGAATATCCTGTAAAAATTTCAGACAGTAACAATGGTGTTTTTCTGCAAAGATACTCAGGAGACACATACATTATTAAACTTAGTAATTGAGGTAGGTACCTATGTGTTTCTAAATGTAGGTACGCTATAGCAATAGACCTATGCCTATAATCATAATTATAGCGGGTGCAGGTACCTATTGCTTTTATCGAGGAAATATTGTTTGAGATTTTTGAAGCTTAAGGATTTAGAAAAGAGACGAGAAAGTGCTAAAATAAAATTGAACGTATTTATGCTGAGAAGAATTATGCGAAAATAAATCGAATCAAGAGGATCTATGTGCATAGGGCTCACAAGCTACACTAATCTTTTTGCTTTCACTCATTTGCACATATTTCCTTGTAGCATAAATACGTCCAATTCTCTTTTCCAGACAGCTCACAAATGAATTTCCTTCAATCTTATTCTCTCAAATTAACAATTCGTGTAGCAGTAAGGATGAAAGGCTAACAGTAAAATGGAAAAGAAATTTCGTAGCAGGGTACCAAAATATCAGAGAGAGAGAGCAAAGCTGGCATCAGAGGAGCCCACTGCCCAGTCCTTCTCGAGAGGCCCCCCCCCCCCACAAAAGAAACATCCCACAGCATCATTGTTGCGGTTTTTCTTCTTTTTTTGAGGGAGCGACCTGGGAGCGTATCCTCCCCCTCCCTTCCACGAAAAGTTCTGCTAGCTTCATCCATGTGAAAGTCAAGAGCAAGCGAGTTAAAGTAAAGAATCTTCGCCAAGACATTCCCTTGTAGTAAGAACTTTAAAAAATCTCCTAAAAATTGTAAATTTTAATCACTAAACTCACCATAAAACTGTTAAAATTTACGGAGAAGGAAACCCTGTTTACGTATGGATTTACGAGAGGTTAAATTTAATTAAAGTAATCGTGATTAAAACTCAGGACTTTTTTTACTTTAATACTGTGCATTTGAGAAGAATGTATTATGGAACTCGCCCCTTGGGTTCGAATCTGCCGCGAAATTACAATCCAAACATGCGATGTGCGCGCGCAGCAGAGCCTCACTTTTGGGCGCCTCATCCCTCCCGCGTGTGTGGCACCCGGGACGGAAAGGATGGCCGGAGCCGGACAAAACATAACCTGCAAAGTATGTTTGTGGAATGAATAGTACTCCAACTTTTCACCTTTGCGCAGGCGCAATAAAAAGGCGGGAAGTCTCAGTATGGCGCGAAGCGCAATATTTTTACACTGAATGATAGTGGAAGATGCAGCGGGAAATACGACTTTGCGGCAAATTTGTTCAAATCCATAGATTTAAACCATGTGCAGAAAACCGAACGCACACTGCAGGTGACGGCAGTGAACCAAGTCATTGATCAGTGGTATCAAACTTCTTAATTCCACTCTCAAAGACGTCTCTGACGGGTCACTTTTTTATTAATATAATTATGTTACCGGCAAACCTCGATTTTGTATTTTACCGCAAATCCGAACGTTCTGTTTAACTTTTTTTTTCTTCTTCTTTTTTTTTACCGTATGGGTATGTAACGTTGATAGGCGGATTGTGGAGACCAGATTTTTACCGATTGAAGTAGTCTTTACTTCAGGAACATGCAAAACACTGACAAAGGCTACAAGTAAAAGAGGAGGACAGCTGATAATTAGGTACATAACGACGGTGTAAGTCGGCAATCACATCCTGTAACTCGGTTTGCGACGTCGCAGACTTCCTATCATACTTAATCTTTTAAACGGTAAACTACTCAAAGGCAATTCTTTAAAACTGCAGTGGTGTTTTTCCTCTGTGCGAAGAAAATTCTGCAAAAACTTCAAGGATTGATGTCAATTTGTTCTCCTTTAATGAAATAACATATAGGCGGAGATTTTTAGACACCGCAAACGAGTTATGTGATTGCCGACTTACACCGTCGATAAGCACTGTCAAAAATGTCATAAAAATGTTTGACGCTCATCTGTTAACAATTTACATTCCATTCTATGTCCCTTTCATGTTGAGGCGTCTTTGCATACCAATTGATAAGAACATTTCCTTCTTCTGGCCATACATCACCTATATGTTGCACGATTAACACCCAAAAAAAGTTAAGCGGTACGGATATATTTGGAGGGGAAAAAATCGGGGTTTGCCTAAATGGCGTTTGACAAACCTAGGTTTTCACAAATCAAATACACCCGCGTCATACACAGGGTGTCCTATAGGTCACCCTTGCCAAGCTTTTTTGAGGTAATGTTGAGACAGAATAAATTGAAACGGAAAAAATTGACTTTTGTACCATTTTTATTTTACAAAAAATGAATATGAATTAATAATCACGCAATTTAAACCTAAAATGAATTACAAAACTGTATAAAAAGTAGAAATATTCAAGTATATGAACTTGATTCAATTGATCTTCGAAACGGCAGTCAAACTCTCCGCCGGTTCTGGACCTTTAGAGGTAGGTATTTAAACAGGAGGGTAATACGCGGTGATGATTTCGTCATGGCTTCATTGAGACTCCTGTAAACAAGCCTCCCCATGGTGTACTAGGATTCACCCTGCGGTCTCCCTTAAACTCCCTACGAAGATAAAGAGATACATCTTCAGATTCTTTGGATTGTAGTCTGTTCGAGCTAGGAGTTTTGAGGTCATCTTGGGCAATTATTCAAACCTGTGGTCTGTGGTCTTGCCTCGAAGTTTTGAGTCATCTCGCGCGCATTTGCGCTAAACAGGCAACGTCACATTTCATAGGGAATTTTAGGATAAGAAATTTAAATTTAAGTCTAAAATTAGTTACCGTACATCCTCAGTTCGAATTGGATTTGAACTTGCCGCTGAAGCAACATTTTAAGTTTAAACTTTTTTGAGGCGACCAGTTACCATATTGCTGGAAAGCAGGGGAACTCAGTGCTGATTTTTTGTACTGGGCTTGGAACTTTGAAAAACCAAGTCTAAAGAAAAAGCACATACACTGCGTTGGTTTTTTGGCATTTTAAGGATCGCAGGAAATCGTGAAGAACAGCTATTACAAGGTTTAGACATACGTCTGCTTCCCTGTTTGTTTTAGTACACAGGGTGATCCAAAAGTCCTGCACCACCCCTGAAACCACTTAGGTTCTTGCCCCCCTTAAAAATTTTGGGGAATCCCGAAAGTTGTTTCTTTTGACTTAAGAGTACTCACAAAATTATAAGGTTCTGACTCAATTTGCTCAAAATTTACACGCTAGGATGATGCCTGTTGCGAGCTGTACGGGACTTATGGACCACTCTGAATTATTCTAGAAGATATGCGTTTTATTACAAAAATCTGAAGGTTCAATTCTCTTTTCAATTAGTCTATTTGGATTACGTGTTTCGAAAAGGATGGCAGGCGTAGTAGATGATTATCGCATGTGTTACAAATAATAATTGCGTTCAACAGAGAGACTACCAAGTAATCCTGGAATAAAAGAAAGGATCAGAGCTTCAAAGTTTTATTTCTCCACTAAACTCAGTGCCAAAGACAGTGGCTACTCTTGAAAGTTAGCAACATATCTTTTGTCCATTTAATGAAAGCCATCAAAACCGTTGATTTTACATATATAGATGAAGCATTTGAAGCATTCTATGTTATCTAGAATCAATAGATAAAAGACGAAAGATAGCGTCACTAACTTGCTAGGATAGTTACTAGTCAGAGATGCGTTCAAAATATTTATCTTCGCGTTTGGATTTTGACAAAAGAAAATTTGTGGCCATTTAAAACTATCATCTCTCACTACTATTCCCCCTAAAATGTGACTTGGTTCTTATCTGTTTAATTCAGTCCATACGTCGATCATTTTTTTCATCCGCTAGGGGTGCTTTTGCTGGACGGATTCATTATAATTAACCCCCCCCCCCTTCATTACTAGGGTGCGTCTGTTCCAAAATGCAATCGGAATATGCATTCGTACTTAAAAAAACGACCCAAGGAAAAACGGTAGAAGAGAGATCGATACAAGGTAACATGACATTAAATTGAAGGAAGAAAACTATCACTTGAGATGTAGCTGCGGAATAACAGCATAATGACACACTTTACTCAAACGTCACACTGCGAGGACTTCTCTAGTCACTCGGCAGAGATCACAACACATAAGCACATTCTCAAGCTTCATATTACTAGATGGAACATCGACCAAGTCTGAGGCACGTAATGAATGATTTACATGCCGCTGTCTATTACCAAGTTCTTAAACTAATTTTGATTTCGAAAAGAACACAAGAAGGGACGCAAGAGTGGCGAAGATGACTGAGTGAGGGTGAATTTTCATGGACGCCGCTCCGCTGTGGCACGTGAGACCCTCTGAGCTGATGGAGAATTTGATCTGAGCTGGGTTTCTGCAATTGTCCTCTGAAAATAAAAAATAAAATCGACGATTAAACACAGGAACTCGCATGTCCCAGCGCTCGATTGAGGCGCGATGACAATAAAAGAGACCGGAGAAAAACCGGAGAATAACGGAGAAAGAACAATACGGATCTAAGTGCATGATTAGATGTATCACGTAAGATTGAAGGCGTCGCGTCGGATGTACACCTACAAATTCCCGCCAGTTCTCTTTAATGGCTCAACGAAACCCTTTAATACCATAAATGAATCAACGCATTTTGAATCCTCACTTATTCTTTTTCTAGTCTAAATCTTCAAAATTGTCTCTACAAAAAGATATAAGAGAACGGCAATTTTAGTCAAACTTTTTAAACGCTTCTCAAATCGCCCACCTTGAAATGACAAGGCTTTCATATCACGTGAGGAATCTTCCAGGTGATTTCAAATCAAGGAGGTTTCAAGGTGCGTGTTGAAATTCTAGTAATGAGAATACCAGATTAAAATTATTGCATAACGACCCCTCCACGCATTTTTGGTTCATTGGAGGCAATCAGCATTTTTTTTCTAGGCAATCGAAATCTCCAATCATAGGAGCCGAATTTTGGTTCAGGTAGCCGAAGTTTTTATCGAACTTAGCTCACTCTATAGTTTCATATTTATTGCCGACGACTTCGGAATCCAGGTTTCCAATCAGAAATTGGGATCCTACAATCGAAAACATCGATTACCTTGATTAAAAACTTTTTAGTTTCCCATATTGCCCGAAATTCGGTGTGTGTAACCAAGTGTTCTTCTTTATCGTGGTGACATAAATTTCGACTATTACGTTGCAACTAAGATTGCAATGATGATTATCTGCATCGCTACCACGTTAATTCCCGTCTTTTTTTCTTTCTTTCTTTCTTTCTTTCTTTAAGCACCGCTTTAAAATAAAATTATTTTACTACTACTACTACTTTCTTTCTTTCTTTTTATAATGGAAATAATTAGTTAATAGATGCTTTCATAATAGACAACAGGCCTCAACTGTGAGCACCCGGTGAGTGTGTTCACAGTTCGACGATCTCTCTTGCACACTTGTTTAGACGAAATTTTTCATCCGACTGTTTGATGACTGTCATGGAGACTCACCGCTTACCCCAATAGATCACCAACTTTGGAGTAGTTGGAAGCGTTGAATGAGTAAGTTCACGTACAGCCCGTAAAACCTGACAGAAGTTGGACAGTGAGTAATTCAATCGATCTCAGAAATAAATCTCTGTTGCCTATCACGAAAGCATCTTTTATGGTGTTGTTTACTAACCGTTGCATCTGAAGGCTTGTTGGATGGTGGGCCGACCGGAGGCAACGGAGATGAAGAGCGGTGGACATTGGATGGCGTAGTCGAAATCGACGCACGGCTCTCCGATCTCGATGATGTACGAGTCCGTGTTGATCTGTCGACACGTGATGTCCTGCAAGTAGGTGCTATTCGCCGAGGGTCGCTCATTCGTCCGACTATGGCACACGTTTATCATGCCATACCCGAAGCCTTGCACCTGAAAAACCAAGCAGCAGCATCAACATATGTAGTATTGTAAAATAGGGCGGGTTGATAGAATAAGGCAGGAAATGAGAAAATGCGATTTGTCGGAGGAGCTCTGGCAGGATTGTTATCAGTGGTGGTTGGGAGTCGCAGAGCGCACGGAAGCGCTACAAGAGCGGCATGTTAGTGGTAGCAATAGGGTGGGGTCGAAAAACAAAATTACCTCGGAATCGTTCGCGGTTTTAAACCCAAATATTTTTAAAATTGGATCAAAATGGAGGAATCACTGCAGAGACTTAAACGCAGCGTAGAAAAATAGGCGCACCGACAAACAGGAGTTGCTGGACGCACGAAGACATCATTATTTAAAAATTTGATCATGCTGGACCACACAAGGGATCGCCAAGCCAGCAAACTGCGGGAATCACTTCAGAGACTTTAACGCAGCGTAGAAAAGTAGGCGCACCGACAAACTCACGAGTTACTTGAAGCATGAGGACATCCTCAGTTGGACTACATTTTATAATGAGGAACTACAATTTCTTGCTCAGTTTAAAAACAACGTATATACCATTAGTTTTCCTATAGGCATATGTTTTTTCTTTACGGATGAGCCAGAATTCGTAGTTCAATTGTCATTTCGTGAGTAAACAGCGATTTTTGCAATAAAGTTTTATTCCAAAGGGGGAGAGATGGCTATACCTTACAGCTCGTTACGTAACAGATTTTGTATGAACAGAAGCCAATGTCGAGCTTTACCTTTATTCTGAACACCTCCGAGTTGAAGAAGTAGTTGGGATGCAATCTGAAATACTGGATGCTGTTGGTGCCTATATAGTTGAAGTAGGTATTTCTTGGAACCGACCAACTTTGAGCATACCAGTTGGCTCCGCATAGAGGGTTGATGATTCTTTTTGGCACTGAAATCAGACAATTAAGACTTTGTATTACTGAACTTAACTAATAAATGAAGTAAAGTATCCCAAAAGTTAGTCAACGTAAAGCCATCATAACCCGTTATCCCACATGCCCCATCAGGGCACACTTACTCTGAAAGCTCTGTCAGAATTGTAAAAAACAGGAATGAGCCTAAGAACGTGATTCATTCAGCGTGTAGGAAATGTTTTTGCCTAACCGACGAAATGAGGGCGAGCATCACTTTGTGCTAAGAACTGTCTGCGCTATTCACTCTCTTTTAAAAGGTTTGTGGTCAAAAACAGCTCTGAAAGAGGATAGCTTGATCCTTAGAGATCGATTTTCGTAGTTGGCAAAATTAAAATGCACACATTGGATCTGAATTTGAAAATTCACATTTCAACAGGGGAGTTGCCCTGACGCAATCGAACAGTGACCTGAGTAGCAGAACCATAGAAGGAAAAGATAAAGATTATGTACGAAAGTTAATTTTATTTATATAATGCATGCATACGAAAGTGTTAAAAGTGAACATTTTTATGTAACCATTATGTTAAAAAAGTCATGATTTTCGTGAGCTTTTCGCAAACATACTAAAAATCTTCTAATTCGCGAAAAGCTCGCGAAAATGATGACCTTTTCCTCATATAATACTCGTAGTTACATACAAATGTTCACTTTTAACACTTTCGTATGCTGCGTTATATAAAAAAATAAAAAAAATTGTCTCTAGAAAAAAATTAACTTATCTAGCTTTTATCATTTTTCATATATTATGGTCAGGTCTGAACTTTGATTTTTTTTAAATATAAGCGTTACACGTTTTTTTAATAAAACTACCATTTAGATAACATATATGTTTTTTAATACTTTTTTTTAGAAAAAAAAACATTCGTTCTGCTACTAGAGGAGGGAGGAGCTGAATTTTGTGGGTTACTGAATGTATAGAATTGACCCGCTCGGTAAAGTGGGAAGTATGGACAATCGCAATTGAAATGTGGAGGGTACGTTAAGAAGGGAACAACTGGAAAGAACTGAAAAAATCAGTGGCGTGGCGTAAATGATCGATTATCGATATCTCGCCATGTGAAGCTATGGCAAAGAATCGATTACTAAGGTGTTCGCTGCGAACTTCCTGATAATCGATCTTTTTTCATAGGTTTGAGTGGCGTATCAATAGATATATCGCAAAGCACGCCACGCCACTGGAAGAAATGCAACTAGTATGCTTACTCTGATTAATCCTATTTACAATCGGCTCCACGGAGCCGCGCAGATCTGCTAGGTATAAAGTGAACACGTCTTTGTAGTCATCATACAAACTGAGACCGGACCTGTCTTTGGCACCAGTAGTTATAAAATGCACATCTGTAAATGCAGAAAAAACATGAGAGACGAGAATAATAAAAAATAGAAAATGAGAGGTAATGATACAAAAACAAAAATACACATGAAAATGGCGATGTCACCCCGGAGCTCCCTATTTTTATATATGATCTTACTGAAATAAGCGGATTGAAGCGAGAATGGTAGCAGATATTTAAGCATGCTTCATTTTCCAGTAGCAGTCTATCCGTCAGGTGTAGCCGCGGGTTAACTAACTGGCTGGAAAAGTAGGCAACGTTGCACTGACGGATAATGAAAATACAGTTATTACTCTCTAATCACTACCCCTCCCCTCCTTCCTTGTGCTTCATCTCACACAGACGTACATGGTTATGACTAGAGCGACGATATTATGCACCCACAATTAGCGCCAGCAACCTTGGCGCAAGGCGCGCGCACCTATTCTACTCGCTCGAATGAGTGGTGATCGAGTTATCTCAGTAAACAGAGGCGGTCCAGCAATTTGGCAACACCGGATTTCCTCCATTTGAACCTATGCTGAATAATCGATTCTTGTAGGAGCTCGTGGCCCCTCCAATAGTCGATACATTTCCATAGGTTCAAATGGAGAAAAGACAATGTTGCCAATTTGCTGCATCCGCGAATGTCAGTAAATCTGCGCTGAGAACGGCACACAGTGGATCGAGTCAGTCAGAGAAGTCGGATATAAATTTTTTGACTAAAACCGCAAATTTTGATGTTTACCTCGTCACTTTTAAAATTTTAATGGGCACTTCTAACAGAAAATTTCACGAGGAGACCCGTCCCTCTATAATATTCCAGTTCATTTTGTCAAAATTAAAATTGTCTATCTCTATAACCTCTGAACATTGTATACCTCCCATAAGTATGTACCGTTCAGGAACTCGGAAAAAATATTTACCTTTTTTTTTTCGTTGAAATGCTGGTGTTGACGAATCGCTTTTTCATTTTTTGAGGGTTAAATCACTTTCAAGGTATTCTGTCATATATTCTGCTCGAGAAGAAGTAGCCAAGCAAGCGGATATTATTGTTCCAAGAAAAGAACTGCTAACGCTCCTTGTGGGTTTTTAAAATATTGCTCGAAGTCTACTTGCTAAGGATGCATTCTGTTTTTCCGTGGCCAAATCAAGGATGAGTTATGAACTGACATAAATTAAATGAACCAATGACAAATTTTCACGCAGGAATAAAACTACTAGATTCTTTCGAGCAGGCGCAGATTTAGACTACACATATGAGGACTTATCTGTAACAATAGCGGATGTGAAAAATTGCCTTTTCGAGACACATTCAAAAAACTGTTTTGGCATCGAGAAAATCTTAAGAAAATACTTGAGATGTGATCTTCGAGATCTGTACATTATGCCAGAGCCAAACATATTAAATTTTTGTGTGAACAAAACAGTTTTGAAGCGTGTTTCTAAAAAGTAATTTTTCACATCCGCCATTGTTACATATGAGGCCTCATATGCATATCGTAACATCGAAGTTCGATTTAGACTATGCCGCGCCGCATCGTGCGGTTCCTTTCAGATATTTTTTAAATAATGCCCATGAGTCATGAGCGAGGACCTATCTTAACTAAGAAGGACATACACACCTGGAAGGTTTCGCCTGAAGTCCTCTGTGATACTCCATAGGTCGTCTCTGTCTTTGTCATAAGTGACGGAAGTGACATGGGGCATGAAGAGAACGACGCGCGGCGATCCACCGCCCTGGTTGCTGATTCGGTCTACGTCCATGCGCCATTTGAAGTGCTGCCGCAGCTCCATGAGCACTCGCAGCTGGTCATAGCCCGTCGGTTCTGGAACAGTCATATATTGGATATCACATCGGATACATACACTTTCACAATGCTCATATCCCATGTCCGTCAAAAGTTCCGGGGCTCGGAACTTTTTTGTTCCAATTTCTTCCTCTGCATGACCGTCAAAAGTTCCGGGATTCCTTTTAGATGTTGTCAAAAGTTCCGGAACATTTCGTGTTTTCAAAAGTTCCGGGTAAAATTCGGGAAAATCTCAAAAGTTCCGGAATTCGGAACTAGTTTCGGGAAATGGGAGCATTGCACTTTCACAGCGCTCACGAACCTGCAAGCTAGAAACTACATGTGTGCGTATGACGTTATGGACTCAGTGGGTGAAATTGAATGACGCACTGCAGTTAGTGTTGCATCTCCTCAAATTGAAGGCGACTTAACCCTTCATCCATCGCGGTGAGTCGATTGTTGATTTTGTTTTGTTAGTCACTGATTTGATTAAGAACAGACTAATTTTGATTGACCGAGCGAGATTTCTTTTCCTGTGGATGGTCACATACTGCCGTTCTAAGGAAAAACGTTGGATGAACCTTCAGGCGTTGCCAAATTTCCTTTCATTAAAAACGAATTTCCTGGTAAAATTATGAATATTTTCCTTCTAATTTTTCAGATAATTTTGTTAGCAATTTAACTTAAAGTTCCTGAAAATGTCAAAGAAACATATTCATAACTTTTTTTAAAAATGAGCATTTTAGCGTTGGAAATTTGGCAACTCTCGAATGTTCATACGGCGTTCTTCCTTAGCACGACAGCATAGATGAGGTGTGCGTGAAATAATTAGATCAATTGAACGCCGAATTTTCCACATCTATATGAATAATGTTACTGAGGATCCACTATGTTTGGCCATTGGCCATGTGCGAAGGGCGTTGATATTTAACCTGAACTTTTTGCGATTAGGTTGTCATTTTCCACCAATTCAAAGAGAATCATCAAGAACACATCAAAACTCAACTATATCTCATTTAACACTCACGAGGATAGTTGAATTTTGAAATTTTACGCATAGAAGTTATAAGGAAAGCATGCAATTTATATGCGATGGTGTGAATTGAATCAGTGAGAACGAAAACACACCAACTCGGGAAAATGAAAATAATTAAGACACACACACAAAACGGCACAGAAAGTGAAGAAGTTAGTTTAAAAAAAATATTTTTGCTGCCGAAACACAAGTACTTATGGACACTTTAAAGGTCCAAGTTGGAACAAATGCGCTCACTTCAATGACCTGTATGTAAACTAACTGTCTTCAATGAAAATTAATCATTTTCGAGTTACCGAGTTGGTGTATTTTTGTTCTCGCTGATTCAATTTTAGTCAAGAAACGAACTGTCACCCAAATGCTTATTTTTGCCACCAAAATCTACGCTGCATGATAATATGGGAATGGATAGCAGAGAGCGGTTTAGCACCGTGGTGCTAGACATATCTGGTTAGAGGAGCGCATGGGTGCGAGAAAACTGATCAAGGGCAATGTTACGATGGGTTCCGCTCCATCAACACAATCAGTCACGGGAAGTGATGCCCTTCACGTTTCTTAACGTCAATTTACGCCGTTACACGTACTGTTGGACATCTTCTGTGCATCTTCTGCGCTGACGTCCAGATTCAAGAAATGAATCCAAGTTTTTTTTTGTATCTTTATGGAGGAAATGCAGTAAATAGCGACGGATAAAAGTGCTGAAGAACTAATCTTTTAAAAAATACGTAGAAAATATACCCACAACCCATTGTGTCGATATTATATGTTCTATTTCATGTATACAGTGTTATAGCGCCCCGTTGGCAAAATTTTCCAGTCCGCTGACAGATTGTCAGAAAATTTTTGAGACGCCCCCCCCCCCCCCCCCCCCCGCCACCGCGGATTAGTCAGCCTCGTTGCCCAGTCCGTTAATAACGCAGCTAGCGGGCGGAATGGCCGTTCAGAAGTCTGAAAATTACTTCAACGGGGGCCGATTGTGAACATTTCTCGAAATTTTTAACGAAACTTATAAAAAGTTCTAAAATGAAAAACAATACAGTTCACAAAAAATTTACACCTCGCAAGTTATTTGAATCAAGTTTACAGTCAATTTTTTTCAATTATTTCACGAGATTTTCTTCTAAACCCGGCACCCGAGTAAACAAAACAGATCAATAGAGATTCGTTTTGTCGCGGGGGAGAGTTGAATGAAATCAACAGAAGGAGGATGTTCTCGGCGAAATTATCTATCGAATGTTCGAAAATGATTTCAAAAGTTGGAAATCAGAAAATCCATGAAAGCTTGAAATTCGCTCGACAATTAGAGAGTGGCAATTTCTTTGAAAGGATTGAGATGCAATACTTAGTTCCTCTACAAGGGCACTATGTTATTCGGGTGTAGCAATACGAACGACGACTCTCATGCATTTCTGAAGAGGTGAGAAAAGCGAAAGTGCCTTCAATTTTGAACATGCAACACGCGCATCCGTGGAACACGAATAGTTGCACGAAGGCGCCACAACCAACTCACGATCAGTGTAGTATTTGTGCGTCGAGATAATCACCGATTTGAATTGATCACTCTAAAAAAAATTAAGTACCATAATTTATAACAGCAAAACAGTTTTAATCGACTCGTTCTAAACTTCAGAGCTTTAAGGTATTAAATCGATTAATTATTTAAACACATGTTTGCATGATCTACGATTTAAAACGAGATAATCTCAGTTTTTTATGCTTTACCCGCGTTGTCATTTCTGACGTTCGAGTCTTTTTAAGTATCCCCTTTAATTATTATGTTTTTTTATTTATTTTCCCGTCTTAAAATTTCTTTTTTTTTGTGCACGATCACAAGTGTGTCATTGATCCACTAATAATTATTTAATGTTTGAATCATTATTCTACTTCTAGCGTCTAATCTAATACTATAAAATTTATTGTTTCGTAAACCTGTAAAACAAATTTTCGATAAAAATCGGAGAGGTGTGTACTTACGAGCTCGGTATGCGTTTTCTGTGAAATTGAGATGGAAATCCAAGCAAGAATAAGTTGCGTTTATCACTATGTTGCCATCCCGTCCATTAACCAGGAAGAATCTGCTGCTCTGCGGGCTGATGTCGAACTGGTCAACCAAATATCTGCAAAAATAACATAAAGAAATGAGCCTTGAAGCATGTTCTGAGAATTAATGCTTTCGTCGACCATACCTGAAAAATCGAATCGTGTCCATCCACGAGGAATTGATTCTACCATCAATAGTTTCATACATGCGAGTGAAAACTTGAGACTCCCGGAAAATTTGGTGATATTTTACTCTCGCCGGGCGAGTCTCGCCCCTTAAAAATAGAGGACATATGAGTTTATAGGACACTTTTAATAGTTGGAAAGTTTAGTTAAAACACTTTTGGCTTTAAAACTGTGGGTATATGTATAGTGAGGTGTTCAATTTCTGTAGGAGACTGGTATAATCTTATTTAATAATATTTTTAGTTAGAATTAGAGTCAACATTTGATCGTGCAACTAGCACGAAAGAATTGTTATATAGTATATTGTATTTATACGTTGTATTCATTTATTTATTCATTTTCAAAAACTGCATTCGAGGTTCCCCGCTCCGTCACTTATTGCACTTTTTCTCCAAAACCAACTATGGTATCTGGTATTATAATTTCCTTTTTAGGCTAATGGAGCATCTTTCTCTCGAGTGTGATACGATTTAAAGTTGCATGATAAATCCTAACAAATCGTCACCCCTCTGACATAACAGTGTATCTCAATTTCCACGTGAGCCTTATTTTAAATATAAATTCATGCTTTCTGGGGCTCATGCAAAAACCGATATACCCCCTTACGCCAGAGGAGCGACGAAATATAAGGCTTAGTTTGAGGCATCATGAATCCCCCATCGAATTCAGTTTGAAAGCAAGGAAATTTAATTTCAAAGGCACTGACGAGGGAACTACGATAGTATTTTTTATTCGGGTGTATTATCGTAGTAGCCTAACACCAAAAGTTCTCTCTATGTATTATTCCAATAATTTTTCATGATATTCCTCCAAGAAAAAAGAATGATTTAAACAAGGCTCTTAAAGTGAATGTAAGAATAAAATCACTCTGTAGGAAAGCTCATTTTCAAAAGTCGTACGAAGACGACAGCGCACTCACGTGAGGATCCTGCGAGCCTCTAGAAACTCCCACATGAAGTCGAGGACCAGGTACAGATCGACGACGCTCTCTGGCTGCGGCCCGGTTCTGTATCCTTGTTGCTGAGACCGAGGCGACAAATTGGCTGAAATTAAAATTATCAAAGATTAATTTCATTTTTGCAATAACCTCCCTTGTTAATTTACCGCAGAAACAATGAATGTGATTTTTCAAAGTGAAGTAATCCTGTCCCAGCTGTGTGGCTCGATGGTTATACAAAGTCGATAAAATGCGTAACTTGAATCGAGACGTTTTGAATCTCCGTTCGATGTATCGTTATCATTTTTTTTAAAAACCACCTCTAGCCTATAGCTTTGTTTGAAAGTTTTTCTAAGTTTTATACAACCAAAGATGCGGCAGAAAATTTGAAGGAGATATTTTGATCACTTTTCTGGAGCAAAACCCAATCGAAGGTTTTCAATGGCTGCAATGAAGGTACGCATTTTTCGATTTTATTTTATCATGAAATTACGACCAAGAGATGCTTATTGCAGGAAAGTTTTTTCTATAGGTAAAGGACGACTGAGAACATTACGGTGCCCTTTTTTGCCCATGCCTCCGTAAATTTGAAAGCATTCTCCGTCTTTGCGTGTTTTTTTGCTTCTAAGTTATTTAATTATGCAGACTTGATATCACACTATGCTCCAATTATTACCAGCCATTTTCCGGTAAAATATTCGATCAGGTGACCGTGATTGTTGAACAAGTTTTCATTAGTTTTACCAACTTATGTATTATTCTTGATTTTAGCCACCGCCTCTTAAAAATGTCCAATACATTTTGGGACGAAATACTTTTTAATATGTTGAAAACATACCTAGGTAACCGCTAAAGCTAGATGCAACAGTTTGCGTTGCAGTGCTGATGATATTGTTGTCAGCAAATGAGACAGATGATGGCAGTTCCGGGTTCAAACTTAATGCGAAGTTGAACGACTGTAGAAAGGAAAAACGGAAAAAATAAAAATAAAATAAGTAGAAAAGAGAATTAATGAGTAACCATCCCCGAGGGTTATAAAAGAGACTCTATATCCAAGACGAAAAATAGACATTAAATCATATGAATATATGTTTTAGTAGAAAATATCACAATATTCAAAATAGTAAACCCCATATTCTACAACATGAAAAGTAGAACGAAATGCGTTCCATTTAGATTCATCAATTTTTGCCTATTTTTATTAAAATTTGGTAGCAATTTAGCCATGAATACTCGAAATAAAATTTCTACAGTGCGAGGGCTCAAAAAACTTGTCTATGCGCAACGAGGGTTTTCTACATTTGGCGGTTCTAGCCCTTCTTTCTAGAAATATCTAACTTATTAATCTTCCGTAGCAAGTTTGTTCATTAATGTTCCAATTTTTTTTACTGCTGGATACTATTTTTGGTAGCAGATAGTCATATTTTGCAGCAAATGATCTTGGGTATATGATCGTAAAACAATCATAGTTGCTATGCGACTTTGACTTTCCCTTCCTCTGTTCCCTTGCAATTGCATGAAGCTTTTATCATCCTTCGTCGATGATATAATTTACCAGGAACAATTACCCTGTATGGTTTGACATCACCATTCCATCATTTAGGGTCTGCGATCTTCTTCAAATGCACTTTATTGATATGATGCATTCGTTTCAATAACGACACACTTTGGGAATTGGTTTTATTCGTAAAACAGGAAAATCAGCTTTTTATTGTTTTTAGAGGGAATTCCGTCAAAAAATACGTTTCTTAACAACACGATTCATAAGTGGACGTGTTTCTGTCAAATGGAACTAAGCGCCAATTTGAGTTCCTCTTGAGGAATTTAGGATGCCGGATAGCGCGTTTCGTCAAACGGAACTAAGCGCCATGGAAAAGCATTGCGAGTATAAGATGGAACGAGCCCGACGCCCGGTTCCGCCGCCAATCCAAGCCCCCCGCTACCTTCCTCCTCCAATGGCGCTTAGTTCCGTTTCACAGAAATACGTCCAAATATTAAGTATTTTAAATTAAACCTATGCTGAAGTAAAAAAAATTATAGTACCTGGTCTTGGACGTAAGACGGTGGAGCTAGACTGGCGAAAAGTTGAGCCCGATTTCCAGCATTGATCAAAGAATCGAACACTCCTTGCTCAGAGTAGTACATGTCCAGAATCTGTGAAAGTTTGATCGTATTGTCAATCCTGGTGATGTCGTTCATTTTGTAAGCTAGCACGATACCTGTTCAATACAGCATTTAAATTAGCCTCCGCTGAGTCAATACGTCGTTATGTAGAAACAAAATTATCGGACTCTAATTTGTGAGATTTAAGTCTGAGGGTGTAAAATTATATTTTAATGAGCCATCATTAAATGGTTTTGTGAGCAAGTTGAAATTTTTCCCACGAACCCAACACGTTTAAAAATGATTCATATTTCTTTACGAGGTGGATAAATTTGTTCTTGAAACTTAATATTCAGACATGACTCTTCAAATATGGCTACGTGCGGCTGTAGCTAAGTTGGTTTGCTCAGTTGTGATTGGTACTTTTTTCTTTTTTACAGAAAGACGGTCCTTTTTTTGCAGTTGTGGGAAAATTTTGTATCACAATTATTGTATTTTTTGAACTTGATCATTAGAAAAACAAATATCAGCATATAAAGAGGAAAATTATCACGGTTTTCTCCCGTAGAGAATTGTCCAATCTAAACTTTGTCTGAAAAATTATAAAAAAGAGTTAAGGAGAGATAAAGGGAGCGAAACGAGAAAAGGGAAAAATAGGAGAAAATTGAATAAACAATTGAGAAAGGAAGGGTGAACAAGGGGAAAAAGAGAGGAAAACGGAGAAAACGGGGGAAAGAGGGGGATGTCTGAAGGCACCAGTGAACAAGACTAAACACCCATACATTCGCATGGAAGAAAAAAATTCTTGACAAATCTGAATAATCGATATGCAATGATCTACAGATCAATTTTTGAAAGAATGTAATATTTTTGGAAAGCAAACTCGATCGACGCGCATCTGTAGTTCATACGTCAAAAAAGAAATGAAAAATTAATAACAACAACACAATGTATTTACCATCGACTGATCCACGGACTTGTGTGTCGGTAATGGTCTCGTGGTAAGGTTCTCTAAGGAAATACCATTTGGGCACACAAGTGTCATTCCATCCGCCACTCAAACCCACGCGCATGCTCGGCAAACCAGTCGGTGTCTTCAGCAGCACCATGAGAGCTATTTCACCTGAAATAAACCGAAGTTTTCCAGTTAAATTTCACAATCTTCGTAACCGATGAATGCTTTAATGAGGAAACTCCCCTAGCACAGTCTCTGAGAAGCCTCCGAGAATGTGCATTATTATTCTGATTATTCATGATTAATCTACACGGGGAAATATCTATGACTTTATAAACCAATGGGCCTGTTGCAAACTTTTGCTAGAGCAAAAATAAGAGTTGTTTCTTATAGATAATGCCTCAAAAATCACGATGAGCGCATCGGCAAAGTCTGAAATGCACTCATAACTTCACAATCTGCGTAAGAAATTTGCGGTTTTTTGAGCTTCCCGCTTCGAAAACGATACTACGGCACAGGTGAACATTTTGTAAGAGGAGTCGTTCCATCGTCGGCGATAATCATCATGGCCGACGCCAATCCACCAAAACACGTTTGATGGGACGAGATAACATCTGAACTGGATTAGACAAGATAACAATCGGTGTGTTAACGTTCATATTTTCCACGCCCGCATTGATTGACCTTGAACTCTCCTCGAATTACGCGCGGAACTGCGCGCAAGCGTCGGCCATGATGAATATCGCCGACGATGGAGCGACTCCTCTAACAAAATGTTCACCTGTGTCGTAGTATCGTTTTTGAAGCGGGAAGCTTAAAAAGACGCAAATTTCTTACGCAGATTGTGAAGTTATGAGTGCATTTCAGACTTTGCCGATGCGCTCATCGTGATTTTTGAGGCATTATCTACAAGAAACAACTCTTATTTTTGCTCTAGCAAAAGTTTGCAACAGGCCCATTAGTGGTTAATATGGAACACCACACCGAAAAAAAATGGTTACATTGTGAGAGTCTATACTGATTGGAAAATTCAAGGTATGAACTGCTCGCCCATACGACGGTCTGGCTTTCACGACTAGAGCAGAGATGTGCCGTAAACATGTCGTGTATGGAAAGGCATGTACGTATGAACTTACCATTCATACGGTATGGACGCTGGGTTCACACGGTATAGACGCTGGGTCCACACGGTATGGACTCAGGGTACAAACTCTTCGTATGTAATATATGCTCATACTAAAATGGACTCTATCTCTATTCATAGGTCGGCATCAAATTTTTCACAGTCTGTCTGTGGCCTCGACCCATAATTTATGCAGCGTAAGTACATAAACTTTTTTCAGTGCACTAGTATAGTCGTAACTGATCTAAGTGATTCTCGGTCTGTGAATCATACTAGGGTATCTCGTATCATACTAAAGTATACATATCGACGGTGAAACTACCAAACCACGTATCTCGTTTGCGGTGTTTAAAAATCTACGCTCGCATTTTATTTTTTTGAAGTAGACCAAATCAATATCATTCCTTGAAATTTTCACAGAATTTTCTCCGCACGAAGAGGAAAAATCACAGAAATTTTCAAGACTGGACGTTAAGTAGTTTTTCATTTAAAAAATAAAGTATGACAAGAAGTCTGCGACGTCGCAAACCGAGATACGTGGTTTGGTAGTTTCACCGTCGATATATAACATCACTGAGGTATATGTGCTATTATTATGTGTTGCCTTTACTATACTATTAGTGGTGTTTTATATGAGCCATAGCTTTTTCTCAGTGTAATACTCAACGGTCGAAACATAATGGTCAGCATGCAAATCTGATGCGAGAGAAAAGATATTTTCGGAGTTCATTCGATCATGTAAAATCTATTGTTGAGAATAAGAGTAAAACGCTCTTGGGGCTGACACATCTTCATGATTCCCTCCGTACTTTCATGCTCACATTATCAATTCAATTCAAAGCAATGACCCCTAGGGATTTATCCTATCTTCAAGAGAAGAGTGAGCGTGTCGGAATGGCTGCTTCACACATTTTCGCAGGCGGTTTTTTTTTCTTTTTTTTAAGCGCTCAGCCGATAGGCAGCGCTTTTCGATTTCGACTTGCCTTTAGAATACTAGTACACTAGTGCTAATTCGTTTAAATGGCGCACCAGCTCATCGATGTGTAGGCTTTTTGGGGGGGTCCATTTTTAAAATAAATAAAGCTGTGAAAACTGTATTTTATGCTTTTAACGTAATGCGCAGGTAGTTTCGATCGTTTGTCTATAAGAAAATTTCTTAGCGGTAGAGTAATTCTTATCGAAATTGATTGTTGAACTCAAATGAAGCCTAAAAAAAACGCGCCTGATGAGCTCAACGGTGAGCTCATTTTCGGGAAACAAAAATACGCGTTTACGGTTTCCTTGGTAACCTTTGTTTGCTATCAGCTGATGTTTTATTTCCATTTCCCAGCCAAGTCGACGGAGTTTATACTTCCTTTCTTCACTAAATACATTTACTAACACCTGAGCGCTTTTCTAATACGACAGTATTAGAACTTTCCCGCTTGTTTTTTCTTTCTTTCTTTTTTTTTTTCTTCAAAGCATACCTGCAACTGTGGCGGCCCATCTGTTGTCGATGGAGAGTCCATACTGCTGCTGACTTCGATACACGGAGCCCGGGCGCTGCTGCTGGTAGAGGCTGCTCGTGCCGCGGCCACCGAAGGGCTCCCGGCTGGAAAGCACGTTGCCCAGCGTCACGTTCTGCGGCTGGAGTCCGGCTGCTATTCCTGCTATCACCATACCAGCCTTGTAAGCCCCATATCTTGCACAACAAAGTCCTTATGTTATTCATCATGATTATATCGTAATTTCGACAAACTCAAGCCCATTCAAGGAGCATCAAAATTCGCCAAGGGAAAATTAAAAAAGAAAAAAAAATGAAAAAATGGCGAACAAAAGACGATCAATCTGAATCATGTCAATGTGATGATAAAAGAAGTATGAGCCTAAAGATATTGTCAATTATTGATTTTTTAAAAAAAAAAAAAAAAAAAAAAAAAAAAAAACTTGTAGATTTTTTTGTTCCAGTTTTCAGGGCCGGATTTTCCTACTTGCCGCCCATGGGCCGCCTGTATTTTGCCGCCCCCTTCTCATTCGTTTTGAAACATCAATAAAAACCATCGAGTGAACGTGTCAGCGGGGGAGGGGCGCATAAGACGCGTTTACTCGGGTTGAATACATTTTTTGGAAAAGCCCTGTCAACACTACTAGCAAAAGGTCACGGAACTTTGCGCGAAAGTCAAGTTTTATAAACCTATCTCTAATGGACAGGGCCTTCCATTCATAAGAAATGAACGTAATAAAAATTATGAAAGAACAATCAAAATTTGGTTTAATGATCTTAACTTCCGCCGCCGCGCCGACCGCACCGGCACCGTGTTTGGCGCAATGAGTGAAGTATTCACGCAGTCTTGTAGGCGCTATGCGTTTCACGCTGACCGCACTGTGTTTGGCGCAATGCGTGAAGTTTCATGCATTCTTGTAGGCGCTATCCGTTTCACGCTGACCACAATAACCGCACTGTGTTTGATGCAATGCGTGAAGTATTCGTGCAGTCTTGTAGGCGCTAATATGCGTTACATGCCGATTGCCGCGCTTTTCATCTCAAGTCCTCGTCATCATTTCTCCCCAAGTCGCGCCGTTCCAGGCCAAATTGTGTGTTTGGTTTCTCTCTTAACTCGACTAATTAAAGGTGCTGTCTCTTGTATTACTGAAAGACGGCGAAACAAGAAATTACTATACTCTCAGGAAATGAGAGATTTTGTAGCCTTTTCTCGTTTGTAATTTTTTTTCTAAATCCGATTTTTTTTATACCTACATTTAAAAAAATTGCAAAATTTGCCGCCCCTTAGATTTGCCGCCATGGGCCGCGGCCTATGTGGCCACCCCCTTAATCCGGCCCTGCCAGTTTTTCCGAAATTGTTACTCACAATGTTTTCTTAAGAATCCAAGAATTTTCAGGGAAATTACTGAAAACTTTCATTAAATTAAATATTTTTCAGCTGGAGATTTGGCAACATTGAAATCTTCCAACGACGTCTTTGTCAAGCGCGGCAATGTCCGTATTAGAAAATGTATGCCAACTTTCTGATTTCTTCCATCAATTTAAGTTATCTTAGAGATTTTAAGCTATAACGAAATCGAAGAAAATCAAGACTCTTTAATATGAATGTTATTTTTTACTTACAAAGAATGTTAATAAGGTTTAAACATTCTCTTAAAGATAATTCAGTCAAAAATTATGCTTTTTTTCTGTGTAAACCCACGTTCAAATTTTTCGCCAGAATTTCCACCTGGAGTAGACGAAGCTCAAAGAGTGTGCATGTTGTGAATCAAGGTGACAAATAGTTTTATCTCCTCTTCACATTCACAAGCACCTATTTATTAATTGAGACGAGAGTTACAGCTTGGATTGATCTTCAATTATTTAGGAATCCTATGATAATCAATAATGTGTAAAATATCGTCTTCATCATGAAAGGAGCAATTGGAAAAAAGCCTTATGGTATGAATCAGCTCATATGGAAAATATGGAGACTCACTTGCTGAATAAGACACCGTTTTCGGTGGGGCATGTACTGAGTCCAGCCTGATTGTACGGAATTTCGTAGTTCCCCTGATTCACTCTTGATCCAAAACTACTCCCTGTGTAGCTTGGATCCCTGAAACATGATCATTAATATTAGAATGTGGTTACTGAAATAAAGTCACACCGACAGACGGATTAAAAAAATATCATACAAAACAATCATGACGTTTTGCTTTGAAAAATCGACAGGCTTTGCATTTGTCGAATATATTGCACCTTAAATGAGTTGACAAATGTAGAAAATGTATGATGCAATTTAAGCAAACACCTTTGGCATTGTACATTTTTCTGGTGATAAGATTTGCTCGATCTACAAAAATTAATTCAGAAATAAAGCGTGCAAGGAATTCCATGAAAACTATAATTTTGATTACAAAACAAATGCATTTAAAAAAATGAGGTTGTTCCACGAAAAAGCCGCATATAAAACTGTTAAAGCTTTTCAAAATATTTGACAGAATCGCTGCAGAAAATTATAAAATAATTATAAATGATTTATTGATAAAAGTTATGGTTTATAAATATTAGCAAAGCTCCAGTTTTTTACCCCAAACGTTGAACAGTAGCCTCATATTTTACTGAAAATTTGATCTCACTTGATCGTGTAATGCCGTGTTGAAATGAAATATGCTACAAAGCTAATTGAAATATTTTTTAGTGCCAAATTTGGCTGGTTAAGCTATATGGACGTAATTCTTGATTAAGAAAACGAGCTACAAGCCAAAATAAGTAATATAATGAAGTATTAAAAGCTTTGCTTTGTTTTTGTAAGTTGTATTTTTCTCATCTACACTGAAAAAAAATATGGTACACTTTACCATACTCTGACACAGTGATCCGAGTACGGTAAAATACACTAGACTCTATGGTAGCGTTTATCATACTATGGTAAGTATCAGTAGAGTTCTGGTGAATACTGCTATAATTCTGGTTATTTCCGCTAAATAGTATCACTGTGTAAAAAATCAAGTAGACTTATCGTAGATTTTACCATAATTTCTCTTCAGTGCACATGTAGTTTGGAATACTTTATTATATAATTTATTTTAGCTTGCAGCTCGATTTTTTCAATCAATAATTATATGCTAATTGAAATCTCACCGTTGGAAGACTTGAGGGTCCTGAGGTTGCTGCTGCGGCTGCTGTTGTCTGAAGCCAGCATCCCAAGATGGTTCCCGGTTGAGGGCTCCTTCGTAGTCCCTCTGGTACTGGGAATCCCTTGAGTATTGCTGGTCCCGAGAAAGAGGATCTCTAGAGAAGGAGGAGTCTCTGGAGTACTGCTGGTCCCGGGAGCCAAGGGGGTCTCGATCCCTGGAAGCGAGGGGGTCCCAGCTCTGCTGCACGGCGGGGTCCCCAGGGATCGGTTTCGGGGACCGTCGGAATCTGCCCCCTTCTCGGTACTCACCTGTCTGGATGCGACTGCAGGTGAAGGATTCATCGCCTCGCTCCCACGGATCTACCGAGTTACTCATCATCCAGTGTAGAGAGCACTGTCGGGAACAAAATCGGGAGACGATTAATCGATTAATCGAAAACTAATAACCAAATATTAATGGATTCTTAAGTAAAAGCTGCACTAAATAAAAAAAATATAAAAGTAAAAAAGAATTTAAACATCAGAATTCAGTGAAACTTAATTAAGTAACACGTTTTTAAGTAATATAAACAGGGAATCAATTAAAACTACAATTGAATCAGTGAGATCGAAAACACACCAACTCGAACATGCTCAATTTTCATTAAATACGATCAATCTTTGTAAAGGTCATTGAAGTTAGCGCATCTGTTCCAGCTTGGGCCTTTTACAATGTCCTTAAGTGCTTGTATTTCGGCAGCAAAAATATTTTTCTTGGACTAATTTCTTCATCTACTGTGCAGTTTTGTGGGTGTCTTTATTACTTTCATTTTTCCGAGTTGGTGTGCTTTCGTTCTCACTGATTCAATTAGGAAAGATTGTATATGGATCATAAATTTAAAAAAGTCTAGCGATCATTTCATGAAATATTAGATATGATATGAATAAAACAAAATTAAGTAACGTCAAGTTTAGTTGGGTAGTTTCATGCCCATGAAAATACTCATCATATCTGATTTTCTCTAATATTTTATTTTTTACAGAAAACTAATGAGCAAAATTTGAACCTGAAATTGCGAAAGATAATTGGATTGCACTTTGCAAAGAGAAACAGGGAGCATTCCAATGTCGCTAAGATTGTGCGAATTTTTTCACCTTGCAAATCACCATCTAAACAAATTTTATCTTTAGTCCCAATGAATTCAATACGAAAATTACCTCTGCAAATGTATTTTTTCATGCTGTTAGTAATTTTTTGTGAAGAATACAAGTCGCACAATCCTAGCAACATTTGAATGTTCTTGGTTCCGGCCTTTTTGCAAAATGCAATCCCATTCTTCATAATCTTGAGAAAATCCTCAGGAAGTTGCAAGTCGTTTTATTTTTAGAATGTCTTTATTTATTGAGTCTCATCTAAACTTCTTGCAGAATGATACAAAACATCTAAATAACGTGGTCAAATGGTTTCGTACAGGTATTACAAATGTATATTTAAGGCCCGTAAATCCTCACGAAACTCATATGATCTCTGGAGTGCGTGTGGAAGATTAAATGATGGCCCAAAAAGCTAGAATTAGTTGTCATCGTAGTTTTATGATATCGACTGATAAGATGCAGGTCCCTCTATTCACCGAAGGACAAAATACAGGTAATAAACTACGTCACCACTTGAACAGTTTACGCCTAAATCATGAAGCCTTGCCTCACGAAGTACAGGTAGTATGCCATGCTGTCAAAAATTTTGCCCGGTGACATCTCCTGATGAAGCGCTTAACAGAGTGGCAACCGATCACTTTCTCAAACGCTACCAGTAAAGATTTCATCAAATGATTAACAGAGGATACTACGTGATCGATTGTGATATTTGGGCCCGTATAATCCGCATCTCCTGCGGTCGCAAACAGGTGGTTTAAAAGTCCGAAGAACCAAGTGGCATACTTTCTCGCATATTGCTTCGGACGAATATAATAGAGGTTTGAGAGTTTCCACAAAATAGTTCAATACTAGATTTACATATCAAAATTCGAATTTCTTTTATATTTTAAGGACAACTCAGTGTGTATTACTCTCTATCGCCAACTTTTTAAGATGAAATTTTATGTTATGGCTGTACAGTATAATCAAACATGCACTGGCATCGGTTTCATCAAAATCAAACGGCAAAGAAACATAGTAAGAATATGGTAATTTTTGCTACAAGTCTACCTGAATTTGAATCCACAACTTTTGGGTGAAGGTAATCTGAGGTTTGGTAGCATTTGCCATAATATTTCTCAGTATCTACCATAGTCCATTCACCATTTTTCCCCCGATTATATGTCAAATTTAAATTTATTTTGAACTATGGTAGAGTTTAAACAAGCTCATAAGATTTGGTGAATAGCTTGCGTCAACTTCAAAATGATGCTGAAAGAACTAAAAATTGCTTAGAAGTATTTTAAAACATCAATGATTTCTAAATTATTTTTTTATACTTAGAGTTCCTCGCCTTTTTACGTCTTGTTTTGCCCTAAAATAATGGATCAGACCTTCTGTGCACTTACGAAAGGCTCTGTCAATCATTCATCTAGTGTACTCCACGAATAAAATGCTGTATCTGTACTCGCCACTCATTCATGAGTTTCAGATGAAAGAGAGATGCAGATGCAACTCATACGGCCTCAATGTTTACGGTGCGGTATCACCGTAAATGAAGGCGCTTTTTACCCCACGCAAAACCTGTGTCCTCGAGAGAGTGGATTTCAACGAAGTGACTTACCCGTTCAACTAGACTCAGGCTGTCTAAAAGAACATCATATCTGCTTGGCAGGAATTTTTCGAGCAGTAATTTTTGCTTAAAGAATTCCGGCCTCTTTGTCGCGTAAGGTATAATGTGCTCTGTGTGCTCAACATTTGGCTGTCTCTCGATGCCGTCAATTCGAAATCTAAAACAAATAGCATACCAAATCAGTTCCCAGTAATTTCTTTCAGTTCTTGAAGATTTTTTATTAAGTTCAGAGTGAAAATCATCAACAATTTTCTTAACAAAAAAAAAAAAAAAAAAAAAAAAAAAATAGAGGGTGAAAGGGGGCTTAAGTTCAGAATTATAATTATCAACAATTTAAAAAAAAAAAAAATCTGACCGGTCTTCTTTAAACAGAACATAACGTTCAATGTCAGCACGCACTAGACATCATATGAGGGCCTTTGAAGACAAGGTGCGTAGGTGCAGTTTTTGGAATAATTGAGATATTAATGATTTCGACTGAAACTATTCTTAATGCTATTCTGTGAAAAATTCGCTTCCAATTTCCAATTTTCAAGCATCAAAAAGTCAGTTTAAACTTTCTTTTCGCCTTAAGGCTCCGTGTATTTTTGAACCCTTAAACACGTACTTTTTGAAATAGCAAATACTGCTCTCATACGCCTTGTCCTCCGAGCCCCTTACAGAGGCGGATCCAGCATTTTGGCAACACTGGATTTTCTGCATTTAAAGCTATACTAAATAATCGATTGTCGGAGCAGCTAGCCCCTCAAAGAATCGATAAATTTCCATAGGAATAAATAGTGAAAAACCAATGTTGCCTATTTGCTGGATCCACCAATGGCCCCTCATACATACATATAAGTCGCTTTACAGCACTCCCTCGCGCTCTACGGCTCCTAACCTCCACTGCTCTCTTTCAAACCACAAATCTAACCAAGCAATGGGCCCCTCATACAAAATTATAATCATAACGTGTTTGAGTTATATGAAGATCATACTTGTGAATTAGGCCGAGGGAAGTGGTACGAGCGTCTAAATTGGTGCCCTGATAGCGCTCGATTTTCCTGATGAGTGCGATGAGGACATTGGTGGTCATCGGCAGGAGGTGTTCCCTCTGGAGGAGCTCCGGATACCTGTAGCAGTCGAGTAGTGCTGCAGGAATCTCCGACCGGATCTGAGAGAATTGAGCATTTAACTCTGCAAACAGACAAATCATCGTAATGTATCTAGACAGGAAATTTACAAATTGACCATTTTGACGATGACGTCAGGCCTATTCTCGGCTCAAACTTTTGACGCACTGGGAAAAAAAAACACATTGGATCTAGAGTCCAGACTCTTGAAAACATTGACAAGAAAAAGGGCTCTTAATTGATTCAATCAGATTTAAGCTTAAATTAAAAGGAAATCCGCTCAAATTAAGAGGCTTGGTTCTTGATTTAAGCTTAAATCTGATTGAATCAAGAGTATTTTTTCTTGTCGATGTTTTTAAGAGTCTGGACTCTAGATCCAATGTGTTTTTTCCCAGTGGGTATACTTCCATCATAAAAGACTTCATCTTTTGTTTCCCCTTTTTCTCACATTTGTTTTCTTCAAAATTTCACCGGTTTATTTCAATCGCACTAACGATTCCAATAAAACAGCGAAATTAGCCCTCTATTCGCAGTCAATCAACCTTGTCACTGTAATGCCTCGTCTCCTTGGTATGTTTCAAGGGATTTGTCCCAAGTTCGAATAGCTGGAATGAAACTTTCCGGGCTTTTCCCTCGTTAAACTGGTACATAAGAAAATTTCTTCCTCTTCTCTCTGAGTTGCTCTTAAGACTTCGCAAGGCCTCTACTTTGTACAATGACTCGTATATTCACTGGCCCAATATTTTTCTCAACTTCACTGGTGAGATTTTTCTCGAGGACAAATTCCATGAAATGTCCCGCAAAGATAAGGCCTTCCAGTAGTAAAATCGGTATTATTATCGGATTGATACAAGTATTGTTACTATTTTGCCGTGCTCAGGAAGAACGCCGTATGACCCATCAGATGTTGCCAAATTCTCTCTGTTAAAATACAAATTTCCAGGGAAATCCGTGAGCCAATTCCCTCCAATATTTGAGGGAATCATTATTCGTTACTGGATCTTAAGTATCTGGAAATTTCAGGAGAAGGAAATTTGGCAACTCTCGAATGTACATACGGCGTTTTCCCTCAGCACGACAGTATTAGCACACTATACTGCTATGCTAAGGAATAACGCTGTAGGAGCTATAAGGCGTTGCCAAATTTCATTGAAAAAACAACGAATTTTCAGGATTTGTGAATATTTCTCTTCTGATCTTTCTGAGGTTTTTGTTCGAGATTTGATCTAAAAAGTCTTAAAATTGCAAGGAAAAATATCCATAACTTTCTTCAAAAATGGATATTATGTGAGAGGAAATTTGACAACATTCGAATGCTCTTACGGCGTTTTTCCCTAGCATGGCAGTATAGACCTCATAATCGGACGTATTTCTATCAAACGGAACTTATCACGGTGTCACTTATCACTGAGTCCTGTTGTGCACATATTTGTAAGGGTCTCAGGGCTCATGTCCTGATCTACATAGTTCCGTTTGGCAGAAACACGTCCAATTTCAGGATTCAAGGTCTCCGCGATGAGTCTTTTCGGTGGCTGGTGAGTCAGCGGTCGTGGATTGTCAGGTGACGAAACTCCATCCGACCCGACGGAGGAGGAAGCGGACAAGCAACAAAGAGTGAGACCTAGCGCACATGGAACATCGACAACCTATTGACACTCGATAACGCCCCGGCCCCGACCAGGTCTGCGTTATTAATACCCGCCACGATGCGCTGGCAGAGGGGTGGTTCAAATTGGGTTGCGTCACGGAGATTGCGAGAACCCACTTGACTCGGGAGATAACGCAAAAATGTGGAAGATCCGCCGTGGCCCGGTCGGCGCCGGCTCGAAAGCACAGTGCGATCATCGTTTCCGTTGGTTTTTGAGACGCCGAACAGTGGGACGAGAGAATGGAGAAGTCGGAAAAAATTTGGGGATTTTCAAAGTTTTTATCCTTGAAAATATGAAACGGAGAAGTTTTAAAGTGGTTTCATTAGTTTTTTTTGTCAAATTTTCTTTCAGAGACACCTCTTGAAATTGAAACTTTGGCGAAATAAACATCGGCGGATCCAGCAATTTGGCAACACCGGATTTACTCAATTTAACTTATGGAAATGTATCGATTCTTGGAGGGGCCAGGTGCTCCGACAAGAACCGATACATTTCCATAGGTTTAAATGTAGGAAATCCGGTGTTGCCAAGTTGCTGGATCCGTCTCTGGAAATAAAGCTAAAAATTTGCAATTTTTTCTCAAAAATCTTATGTCAGATCTTCTCTAATGACCCGTTCCACTGTGCGACGTTTGCGTTTGTTCAGCGTCCAACGAAAGTCGCGAAGCTCGGCTTCGGCTGGCAGTTCTTAGAGGCAACGTTTTGTAGAAATACCGCATTGTAGATTGTCTTGAGGTCCAAAGAGCCTAACTGAACGATCATGTTTCGGGGGCCAAAATAATGTTTTCCTCCTTTTCAATTTACATCGTTTTGTTAAAAGTGCCCCCAGTCCTAACTACGGCCTTCTCTTCAAAAGTTTGACTTAGAACTCATTCAGACTTAGAGCTCATGTCTTTTTAAGTGTGGTTGTAATAACCATGTATTGTGTATGATAGATCGCATGTAGACGCAATTTCACAATCATTCAAAAAGTTTCCTAAATTTTTCAAAAACGCAAAGGCCACGAAGTAAAAGTTTTCGACAGAAATTACATGATCATTGTACGTACCTGATGTGAAAAGTGTAACAAAAGTGAGGAGGAAAGCAACTATGCTTTGCTCCATGGCACCAATTTAGATCTATTGACCTGCAACAGAATAAAAGGTGTACAAATTAATGGACGGTGTAGGTGGAAAATTGAGGTATGAGTTATCTTTGTGAAATACATTTCTCCCTTGAAAAGATTGCTCCGGGAAATGTAAATGACATTTTTCACGAAAACAAAGAAACGTAATTCATGGAGACATTGATCGTTTCATCAGACATCAGATTCGTTGCCTTTGGAAAATACTAACTAATCCGAGGTCTCCGCTTAAATAACTTTATAATTATACGAGTCCTGAAAAATCTCTTAATATGACCAAGCTCTTTACGGGGGGCTGATTTCATTATGTTACTAAAAAAATCAATTATTGAGACTTAATTATTGCTTAAAAATTTGAATAGACGCGCGACAATACAACATTACATAACAAGTCACACATTTCGTCGCCCCTCTAACGTAAGGGCGTATCTTAGCTTCCCCGTGAGTCCTGTTTTGCATGAAAATCCATGCTTTTTGGGGCTCATGTAAGAATCGAGGTATACTTACGTTTTTACGCCAGAGAGGTACCGCTATGCGTGGAATGAACGGCTTTTAGTGAAAATCAACGATGTGACATGAACGTAGAATGGGCAAAAATGAGTTAAAAGTTTCATTCGTCTATGAGTGTCAATTTAAATACGATCTCCAGGGTGAATTTCCCTACACTAAACGTCTTTGCAGATTTCGACCGTACCCTTAACCCAATTTAATTGAAGATGTCACGTAGTTCGCTTCCCCCGAACGCTGCTCAATTTCGTAAGCTACGGAACTTAAAAACATGGGTGTTTGCATACCTCCCAGGTCAATAGTGCTTCACAGTAAAAAATTCCAGAAGTGCCCACACTTATATCCGATTGCACCTTTTTCCTTCACTCCATTCGAACGGTTGAAAAGCCCCCCGTACTTAGTGAGAGTAATTTACCCGAAGATGAGCGTGAAACGTACAAAATAAACAAAAAAACACCAAGAGCTCAGAATAGAGACGGAATATTTAGGTATTTCATCACTGACTGGAGACAAAAACAGGTTGAGATAGGCACGCACACCGAAAGAATTCTCGAAAGGGAAGGAAGCAGCAGTGAGAGCTAGGAATCAGGACTCCTGCTGTGTCTCTCTCTTGCCAATAGAATCAAGTCTAAAGTTGCGACTCTCGAACTGAGGAGGAAGAGAGACAGAACTCGGCTGATATCGAGTGAGACGGTGCCGGTGCATGATGAGGTAATGAGATCAATTAAGCGACAATATTTGGTCTAGTGGAGGTGGAGGGTGAAAGGACAGCGGCCACGACGTCACACCACACCGCAACCGGTGATTAGGCGCGTAACGGGGCAGGTAAAACCAGCAAGCAGCGATTAGTGATATCGATCTCGAACTCCCGGCGAGGGGAGCTAAGCGTGTCAATTTAGTATCTAAAACTTTTGCCCATAAGATTCAGAATTCGGGATTCGAATTTCCCGGGCACTTTCAGACTTGGGGAGGAACAGAGAAAGGAAATCCCGGGGAAACGCTCGGTTGCTTTTCAGTGTGTAATTGATGCTTGTGCACACGCATGTGCACTAATTGTACTGCCATGCTAAGGAAGAACGCCATATGAACCTTCAGGCGTTGCCAAATTTCCTCTGATAAGATACGAATTTGTTGGGGAAATTGTTAACGTTTTTGCTCCAATTTTTTAGGCTAGCTTTTTTCCTACTTCGGTCAGTTGCATGCTCATTTTCTTGTTTTAATTTTTACATTTTTTAGCTTTTGTTCCAGTTGAGAATGGGCATGTTATTGGCCCGAAACGTCCTGGTTGTTTATTTATCCTCTATAGCCTTGTATACCCATTTGTTTTTGTATTTTAGTGTGTTTTTATTGTTGTCTGCATTCGGCGTCTCTCGCTCCCTTATCATTTTTAGACCAGTTTGTACGAAATTTAATCTAAAACATCAGAAAATTTTGAGGTAATATACATAGATTTCGTCAAAAATACATGTTTTATCAGGGGAAATTTGGCAACTCTCGAATGTTCATACGGCGTTCGCGAGCTGCATACTTCCTTCCAGCATGAGTACGTTTAATTTTAAATAGATTTCCTTGAAAAATACTTTCTTAGAACTAAAAACTTCGAATCGCATGGTTTCAACCTAGTTTAAATTTTTCAAGCGCTTTTAGTCTCCAAATTTTTGGCGAACTCTCCTTTATGCGTAGTTATTCGTAGCTGAGTGTTCAGTCTTTTTGGACCAAATTCCTTCGTGGACGGTCTCATAAGTATGTAATACACACAGCATCTGTAAAAAAAAAAAAAAATATGGACGAAGAGCTAAGGTTGCATATTATCTCTACTATCAAAACGTAAGTATGATAACCAAGAAAAGTCTATCTTTAAGATCCCATGTCCATCGCGACTGTCACTAGCTCAAAGCTACGCTCAATGCTGGTGAGTTTTTTCGGGGCGTAGGAAAGCGCCGGCCGTAATGCCTCGAAACCGCGCATAGTGAACTAATAGACGTGCACAGCCATGCATGGATTCATCCAGCTGTGAGCCTTGCACCGTATCCTCCCCCGCCCCTCCAAAAGTGTGAGAGGGGGGGGGGGCTTGCGACACTAGTTATTGTTCGTCTTGTACTAGTAGGACACGGTCATCTTTATTCAGGTGCTTAAGTATATTCCGGTCTTCGAGACTTCCAACTTGGCGTGTGAGCAATACCATTTTGTTTCTCATCAACGTGCTCACTTTTCCCATTCGTTTGTCTATGAGCCATTCATCAATTATCACGCACACGTCTTCCTCAAAAAAAAAGAAAAAACTGGAAATTTAAGGACCGACAGTCTGATTCGAAGAGTAAGAGATAACAAATTTGCGGAAAGACTTCGTGTTTATGGGTTCCGTGACACAAGGTTCTGAATAATTACTATTAACCTGAGACAGAAATACGTATGTCCAAATATGCCTTAAACTGATATTCTTCCGAAGTGAGAAAATCACTTGCGGATAATCTGAACTTCTATTTTCTGACTGTATTATGATGAACGACGTTCTGTTCAAGATCAACCCGTTGTGCACACGAGACTCTGTTTAAAATTATAAAGATAATTAGGCTTTGCATTCCTTTATGAAAACCGAATTTCATCTTGTATTCTTCAGTTTTGTTCTGTATTGTATTGATAGTATCTAGAGTTGATGCATGACCGTACAGCAGTTGCCCGAAAACGGAGCCTTCAAAATCAGAGTACACCAAAAGTGACGCTCCTTATACATTTTTGACACACATACTTCGAGCTTGTAAGCTTAATTGTTCAGTGCGATTTTCAAGTTTAACCCAAAATTTTTACTAGATTTATAATTCAAGATTGGCAATTGGATGGATTAATGCAAGAATGCGAAGAACCAGAGGAAGAAGACGATGACGAAAAGAAGACGAAGGAGAAGAAGATGAAGAACAGGAAAAATCAAGTGTTTCAGGAAAAAAGTGGTAAACTTGTCAGCTTTTTAATGAATGGCTGGACTCTGATTCGAAGCGACCGTGTTTTGGAAAAAAACACATGAGAGCGCAAAAAAAAACCCGTTGGCAAATACGCGACGAAGTCCCTGTTTGCTTAGTGCGGCATCGGAGATTTACGTTGAAAGCAAGTATGAAGAATCTCCAGCTCCCAGCTGGTTCCCGATAAATCACCGCGTACCTATTAATGAGTTCCCATTCGCACTTACGCGGTTTTTGAAAAGTGGTCGCTACGAAACGGATAGACTTATCCTCTTTCCTAGCAAACTATGGTTCCTTTGTTCATTGTCATCCAACAGAACTACATTTTGCACTTAGGTATCACTATTTCTGAATCATTTCAGAAAACAATAAATGCCACTAATTGTCCTACAGGTAGAAGCTTTCATGAATGAGTCAAAAATATCATCTCTTAACATAGTCTATACTTGGACTCACTGCCAAATTTGCAATAACGCTACATAGGCAGTGGCCTGAGGGCGCAACACTTTAAGGAGCGCACAATTTTTGAGACCTCATTCTAAAACGTGTTTGCTTATGCATTATGTATGTATATTTGTATGTTGTGTATGTTTCATGTATGTTTCGAGTCATCTCTCACTTTTTATTTTCTAAGCCCAGCTATTTTGCTGCCACCCCCCTCCCCCCTTGAGAGCGCCTACTCTTAGGGTGCCAACCAAAGTTCAGCCTAGGGCGCTGAAAATTTACATGCAGCTATCATTATATTTCGGCTCTGCGGAATGATTGTTGAGATTGGTAGACAAAGCGATAGACAAAGATGACAAAACGGATACGGAGGTATCCCATCGGTGGAAGCGGGTGGTTGCACTGGACAAAGGACGTAGATAATAGACTACACTGGAAAAAAACACATTGGATCTAGAGTCCAGACTCTTGAAAACATTGATAAGAAAAACTACTCTTGATTCAATCGGATTTTTGCTTGAATTAAAACGAAATCCGCTTAAATTAAGAGGCTTGGTTCTTGATTTAAGCTAGATTCTGATTGAATCAAGAGTACATTGTCTTGTCGATGTTTTTAAGAGTCTGGACTCAAGATCCAATGTTTTTTTTCCAGTGTAACTGACAACAACCCACGAGAGACCACCGATATAAGTCCGTCATTTACCCCCTTAGTCTATTAGAACCACCCATTTCAACCAATAGGATCGCTCTTTATTAATCGCTTCCTTGTCTATATAGCTTTGTTTATCAATTTCAACAAGCGACCCGCTGGTCGGACTTTTTGCAATAAGGAACCACCATTTCGGACTCTCATAACATGTGTTTCATTGGTCTCCCCGGTTCCTCATCAAATCATGCAGTCCGATGCAGGTTATGCGAAAGTGAATCTCACTGCGCAGGAAAGTGAACGGAACCCCCGGGAAAAAATCATTTCCATCGTCTGGAAATCAATCCCGCAAAACGGGATAGTCCCGGGAGGCGGGATGCGTGACTGGATGCGGCATGCACGCGCATCAAAGAGCCACAGCTGGAGCGCCCGGGAGCGGGAAGTGGGGC